AAAAAAAAAAAAAAAAAAAAAAAAAAAAAAATAAAAGAATTATGGTAATTTACTAAAATTAAAAGTGCAAAAGTAACAAACAAATAGCAAGAAACAAAAAATAATATATATGATTATTATCATAATAAGTAAAAAGATTAAGAAAACATATACTTTTAATACAATTTAATAATAATAATATCTTAATTGTAATAATAGTATTTAAGTAATAAATTAGAGAATTCGAAATTACTCTTATTCAATATTATTTAATTTCATATTACATAGTCAAAACATAATTCAAAATAATATATGATAATATGTTATAGTTAAAAATACAAAATTATTTAGTGAAAGCAGTTCAGTAAGCAAAGTAAGCAAACTACAATATTTATATAATTTAACGGATTTTTATTCGATATAATTTTAAATATATAATAGATATAAAAATTGCCAACTTATCCATTAATATGTAATCTATAATATTACTTTATTACATTAATTTAATTAAGTATTTTTAATAATAATTGTTCAAATAAACGAATGATATATGTCGGTAAAAATATTTTTTTTTCTTTCTTATATCAATTAACTATGTATTGCAGAAGTAAATACCGCACATACCAATGCTCCACTAACGTATTCGTACATATACTTACAATCACAACTTGAAATACCGTTATGCATACAAGTAAACGCTTGTAAAGCTCTTACAAGTTAGTCTTATAAGTAGTATACATACACATATACTCAATATATATGCAAGCCAAATTCGTATAACAGGAAAATATAGAGGATTTAAAAATCAAAGGGAAAAAGAACCGATGACGTTGAACAAAGAGAGAGAGAGAGAGAGGGAGAACAAAAAATTTAATAGTTCATGAATGACTTGCTTATGATTTATTTATAGTAAATACTCACTTTCTATTTGTTTACAGTTATGTCGAATAGTATAATTTATTTAAAAAAAAAAACCTTTTAGGATTATTAAATTTTACTCTTATTATTATTTATTTTGTAATATTTCATGAATAGAAAAATGCCTTGATTATTGATTTATATAGAATACAAATTATTCAATAATAAGATTATTGAATATTGAATGTATTGAAATACACGATTATCAACAAAATAATTTACGATGTAATTTACTTTTATAATGATTAAACAATCATAAATTTCTTCATTTTTACAATTTTACTTAACAAATAAAATTAATGTAGTAAAAATCAGAATGAATAAATTCCGTTTATACACTTGAATTCAAGGAAAAATTTATTATTATATCCATTTAGAAACTTTATTTAGCTGTTTTATAAAATTAAATATATTATAATAAATACATTTACTTGATATATTTTTTACCCTTAATAGTGTTTAAAAAAAGTAAAGTAAAATTATGATTGTTTGAAATTTTTTTGGAAAGCTTATAAGTGATCTATTTAAAAATGGATATATAATTGAAATTACATAGCCTTAGAAAGTAGTTTTTTAAAAATATATTAATTACTGATGATAATTAGAACAATTAAAAACTCAATAAACAAATGCGCATTGTAAAAAATGTATTATAAATTAAACTGAAAAAAAAATTAATTTGAAATAAACAGTTCCTAATTTCCTTAAAAATTTTATTTGCAATATGTAAATGAAATTTAATTGAATAATATATAATTCAAAAACATTTATTAATTAAATCAATTATATTTATCTCAAAATATTGTATTTAAATATGCTGTATACACATACACGCGCACGCGCGCGCACCTTTCCATTCATTTATAATTACAGGCTAATATTTTTTTAATTTCACCAATGACTTACAATTTTATCATACTATTACACACATGAAAATTTTCAAACTTCTAATAGAAGATAACATTGTCGTTATATATCAACTAACGAAATTACTGAAAATCATAATTATCAGAGAATATAATTTTTGAAGAGAAAGTTCGAAATCTTTTTTTTCATTCTCAGGTTGTAAATTCCTTTGATTTTGAAATAAAATGCTGCATCGGAGATTTCTTACATATATACATATATTGCGTGTTTATCCTTCGAGAAAGTCAACGGGGAACTTGCTTTTATGTATTTTAGTATATAAGTACAGCATACATGCATGTACACAATCAAATTCTGAGTTTGGTAACGGTCACCGATCGACCTTCTATCTTAACATTATAACCATTTGTCTTAATTTTAATTATTACTAAGTTTGAACCATAAGACATAAATAAATTTGATAATTAAACTTGAATTTATTTGCAGTATAAAATGTTGATTTTATTAGCCACTTTACTTTTCAATGTTATTATAAAAAATTATTTTTATATAAATATATATATTATTTTTCTATAAATTTCTATAAATAATATATATATATAAAATTATAATATAAAAATTACTTTTCAATGTTGAATTATGATAGATAAAATTTTTATAGATTAAAAGTTAATTATTAATATATCATTGCAGTGTTCCTTTGGATCTTATCATTAAATAAATTAATTCATTTGTAACTTCGAATATTTTGCTAATTCTTCAGGAGTTGAACAATCTAACCATAAGAATGAATTTAAGAAAATGGTGGAAAGAATGATAAATAATTCTATTAAAAAGTGCGAAATTAAGAAAGTATTGATATATAAAATAGTATTTTACCATTTTAACTTAATATTTAAATAGAATTTATATTTACAACAATCGATTTATTGGCAAAATCTAAATCAATACTTGAAAATTTATGTATATATATATATATATATATATATATATATTATGTATAGATTTTTTATATTTTCATATAGAATATAAACAAAAAAGTTAACCAATACAAACTATTTATATCATTTTTCAAAATTAAAATTTTTAACTTTACAAGGCAGGGTATCCATAAATATTTGAAAGGATTTGTAAAGAAGAGTATCGATAAATATTTGAAAATATTTGTAAAGAAAAATTGATATTCAACTATGAATTTAGAATAATGTATTGATATTTTTTATTTAAAAAAATAAATATAACTTAAATAAAAGGTATATTTCGAATAAATATTGCCAAATAGTTGAATTTTTGTGTTTTCACAAATATTTCATTCATACAATTATAAATAATCGTAAAAAAAAACTTTTTTCATTTGATATTATTTTAGTTTATTAATAATTAATTTGGTTAAAAAAAAAATTTATTCTTTTTTTAAAAATATATAACGTTTAATTATAATTGTTCACAATATATATATATATATATATATATATATATATATATATTAAGCAGTTATTAGATAAAAATATAAAAAAAAAATATATAATATAAAAAGATATTTTATTTTTATACACATTATCATAAACTTTATAAATATTTTTAGGAATTTCATAAAAAATATGTAAAAAATTTTTAAACATAAAAATTAATTAAACCAATTCAAGTACATCAATTTCTTTTGTAATAATCTCTTTGACTAATTAATATTATTCATGGGTAAGGATAATGTGTACATACAATGAATTAGTTAACTTAATTGTACCTTGACTATTAATTATTATTAAATATTATATTATAATTAATATTATTAATTATATATAATTATAACAAAAAAATTATATGTAATTACAATAAATAAAATTATAAAAATCATTATAAATAATAAATTATTATACTATTAAACTTTTGAAATCTGATAATTATATGTAAATTTAAAGAGACTTTAAGTCTAATTATAAAGTTCAGCGTGATGAGGGAAATTATTTTAATTTGAACTGAAAATCAATTGATTTTTAATATATTATATATTTCTTATGAATAATATTTAAGAATTTCAGATGATTTTCACTGCAACTTCAAATAATTTCTTTGATCACAATGAATCGTATATTATATATTATACGAATCTATTTGAAATATGTGAGAGTACAAATTAATGTTCAGTATGGATATTTATGTCGATAGATTTGTCGAATGAATTAACGAGAATATTTTATAACAATATAAGTATTATCATACTAGTCTAATTTTTTTTTTTATCGGTGTTCGTATATTGTATGGTTATTGCTTAATATTGAACATTTGGCCGAAAATAAGAAATACAACATTTTGATCAATTTTTGAAACGAATGTGATTAATTTAAAGAATTTTTTATTTTTTCTGTTTTAATTACTTTTATTAAAAAGATTTATATAAAGATATATAAAGATATATAAAGGTTTTATTATAAAGATTATCATATGGAGTTTATCACTCATCACATAAATCGTATTTTGAAATTGAAATTGTGGCAATCGCAGGATGTATGTCAGGTAATCCGATATCAATCTTAAATGTTTGCCTACATTTTGAAAAAGTATGCTTAAAGGACGTTTACTTTTTATTAATGATTTCAACGATTCGTCGCGGTTCAATAATTAGAACTCTAATAATCTATAATACTACCTCGGTGAATTAAATGTTTTTAATCTCAATAGAGAAATGAAAAAGCACGCCGAGATTAAATTGTCTTTAAAAAGGTAAAGCCTTCGCCGCGCATTTGAATTTACTGTCAAGCAATTAAGAGTTCGTATATAGACGGGCTATTTAATTCGATGGTTGCACTTTCTCGCGCGAATGATAATACTAGGCGATATTCCACAAAAAGGAGGCGAAGAAAAAATTTAGCCTATAATACAAAATGCGGGACATTAAGAAATTGTTTGAATCCATCGAAGCATCGAATAAACTCTCTCCCTATCCCCCTCCCTATCACCATTCACTCACTCACTCACTCACTCTCTCTCTCTCTCTCTCTCTCTCTCTCTCTCCCTCTCACGGTTGTTTTTGTGTTTGCGCGCGCGCGCGTGTGTGTGGATCTGAGCGGCTCATTCCACGGTTCGTTTGGTATAATATCGTGTTTGAAGGAAGGAGTGCGCATCACGCGGCCAGCCACGTTATGCGCGCTTTCTCTCGACTATCTTCACGGTCAGCTTAAGCGTGCGCGCCGATTGCCAATTGCGAACTGCGCCAAGTGGTTCCGGGTTTAATAAGGTGCACACGAGTGCAAGGTCCACGGCGACTAGCGATAAATATTTGTTTCTGGGTCATTTTCCAATCTAGCTGAGTCGTTGGAATGCGACGACGTGGGAGCTTAAGCATCGGCTGATTTACATGTTAAATAGTAAATTAAACGTTTCCCTCGCCCGGAATATTTCATTAATCGCAGCCCAGATATCGCATGCATTTCTCTGCCATTGGGACGGATTAACCGGCCTCGTGCTTCTACAATTTCTATTCTCCTTTCTCGTATTATTAATCCCACGATATTTTATTATGCAGAGCGACATTATTTAGTGAAAGTCGTAGGACTAATTAATTGATCGGATAGTTCACACGGGGGGAATATTTGACGTTTCAAAAGCTCGTCCCATCTCACCCTACACCCCAGTTACCCTCGATTTTTTTTTTCTCCTACACTTGGAATTATAATTTTACTGTCATTGCATTACTTTGCCGAGGCGTCGATTGCGCTCTATTAAAAAGTCATTGTAATTCAATGATGGGCTTTGATACTTCGACCCTTGTCGATTAATTCAGTGCTAGAGGGTATTAATCGTACATAGTATACGCAATATAAATACTTACCTTGATATTGTTGTCTAAAGATTTGCTTGATGAATGAAAAGGAGCGAGTCGCAATCGCTAAGAACAATCACACATAATTCTCTTTTACAAATTCATTGTTTCATTGATTTTATCTTTGTTTTGTTAATGCACTTGCCAAATATCTACTTGATTAAATTATGCACTATCGTATCCTTCACTATGGGATTGAAATGATCGTTTTCTTGTCTTTCTTGTTTCTGCGCCTTCATTAACTTTTAAAAGTCCAACTAAATATAATCTGAACCAATATCTATTTATTGAACTGCCTGAAGACGAGTTACGCGCACATCCTCGTCCTCGTCCACCCAGGTAAAGAACTGCGGCGAATGTGATTCGTTTCCAACTTCACCGACGTACTGAGTTACAGTTTCTCTCTCTCTCTCTCTCTCTCTCTCTCTCCCTCTCACTCCCTCTCCCTCAATCGCTAACTCACTCGCTCATACACAAACACGCATACCCACACTCGCACTCTCTCTTTTTCTCTCTCTCTCTCTCTCTCTCTCTCTCTCTATTTCTCTCTCTCTCTCTCTCTCTCTCACTCTGTCTCTAGTTCTCTTTATATTTCAATCCATCCAACTAGTCAAGTGGATGGTAGATGTCTGGCTGAAGCTTCGCGGACATGGCACATGCCGTGCAATTCCCCTGCCGTAGTCATAAGCGATGCCTCGATTGGTGAACGGTCCGTACGACCGATAAGGCCCCCGAGGAGGTGGTAGCGGACCCACCGGCAAAGAAAGAAAGAGAGAGATAGAGAGGGGGGGGGGTTACACATAGTCGTTGAACAGCCTGAACTAAATCAACCCATCGAGCATAGGCGGGTTACTAAGAAAGAGAAAGACATAGAAAGGGCGAGAGCGAAACTATGAAGTCATCGAGCTGACGAATCAAGAATGAAGATGTGCAAAAGCAATAGCGAAGGGAGAAAGCGACAATGGAAAGAGAAGCCAGTGACAGCAAACATGATCTGTATAAGCTATTTATTAATTTATAAAAGACGATATCAGGAATATCGATAATACGGCCTTTTCGCTTGTAATGTTATGCACGCTACATAGTAATTATAGAAAATTAATGTATTATTGTAGCAGAAATTACTTTCAATACATTGTGTAGAAAAAAAAAAAAAAAAAAAAAAAAAAAAAAAACAAGAAATAGTGTAAATGAAAGAAAATTTAAATCTACATTATAAACTTTTCTGCAAACACCGTCTTTATAGATTATTTTTGATACAATAATAAAATTCCTTTAGCGTATAGAAATAATTTATAATTATAACAAACCAATTTAATATTTTTCATGCATATTAAATATTATTAAAAAGGGATGAAAAAGAAAATGTTCGAGTGTCGTTGGTGTCAAAACTAAAAATATACTAAATACTATTTATTATTAGGAAAGATGACAAGGATAAATTTCAATTGACTTTTAAACTTAATTACCGTTCAAAAAAAAAAAAAAAGGCCTACGTAAATAAACAATTTGCAATTAATAGCAGTTACTTTTCTGAATGTATACGCAGCTGAGTCCGAAATTAATAAATTGTCTATTATCGTGGAATGTCAGTATCTCTCCTAATAATTTCAATATTGCCATCTCCAGTCGCAGATTTTTCACCTATAATTTCCACAGCAAACATTGTCTATTTATTGAATCAGTCGATTCTTGTATCAACTATTCAAGCCCACAGGAATAAAGCATCAGTGCAAGCAATTACTTTTGTCCTTAAAGCACTGCTTGACCTTCGTGTTACAAAGTATGTATCATACATTGCAGTAAATATAAAGAAAGGCGATGGTGGTGGTGGTGGTGGTGGTGGTTGTGGGGGGGGGGTGTAAAGTATAGAACGCGGAACTCAAGTAAAATTAATTTTTTAACTATATTGTAAGATAATATGAAGTTAAGCGAGATCAAGCGAGCGCGAAGAAGCGAGTGAGAGGCAGAGAAGCGAGGCGAGGCCAAGAGAAGAGAGGAGAAAGCAAAGTGGGCCAGTGGCCAGGTCAGTCGAGGCGGAAGGGGCCTCTAACGCGCACGACAGCGACACACTGTCCTACTCATCGCCAAGACGACTTTACAGGTCTCTGGACATTTGTTCATCCCGCTCTCTCTCACTCTCTCACTCTCTATCGCTCGCTCTTCCTTCGTCGCTCTCTCCATCTATTTTTGAGTTGCCAACATCACAGCATTCATTCGGTGTACGCTCATTCCCGTCTTTCGGATGAATACAAAACTGTGGCATTAAAGCCGGAATTTTAACAGCATCAGCGAATAACTCTTAATATCTGTCTACGCACAACTAAACTACCAACATTATCTTACAGTGCACGTGTGCCCTGACACAGACAAGTTCCCGCCTCTATGTAGATATTTACCTGACCACGTTTCGCGGCTGCACGGTCAAGTGTTATAATCGCGATTTAGTTACTATTCTCACATACTTTTTACTTTTACGATGTCTGTTCAATCATCCGCTTTGTCTCTCTCGTCTCGTCTCTTTCTCCACAATAGATAGAATTACTATTCAAATGAGCTCCGCCTATATGGCTATCTCACCATCGAATCTATGGATTATTTATTTCCGATATCCAACTTATAATACAAACTTATAACGAAACGTAGAAATACTACTTTTATCCTATAAAATATTTTACATTGCTCCGTTCATTTACAATTTACTAAAATCCAGTTAACTATCCATTGCTCCATTATATTATTATAGCAAATAAATCTTTCGTGTAAAAAAGAAAAACTTATACAAAAATTTATAAAACAATTTTACTCGTATAAAATATCCAATGATACAACTTTGGACATTACACATATAACTATATACGCAACTACGCCCATACACACAACTTTAATTCTTATAATAATAATAATTCAATAATTTAATACTTTTAAGATTTATGGACTTATACCTTTTATTGGGGACATATATTAAGAGAATCATTAATCCACGAAATTAATATGGATAATCAATCTTCTAAACTTCAATTCTAATTCTAACAATTAGTTTTATATTATTAAATTTATTACTCTTCGATTAAATAGCAATTATATGGAAAATAAATATTTGTTGAAATTTTAATAAATACCTTATTGATAATATTTCTTTCATTATGTTCTTTACTATGAATACGATATTTAAATACATTTTCAATTATTAAGTAACATTTAGCTTTATTGTTATTTAATAATCGCATATGATGTTTTTGCCATAAAAATAAAAACTGTTAGTCTATTATAGGCTTTAAGTTTTTTTTTTTAATCTTTAATTCCAATGTGTCATTATAAGTGCATTTGCGGTATTTCATTTCAATTATACCAAAATTAATATATAAGTCGAAAGAATTATTACAAAAATTTGTTCATAAATAAATTAAAGTAACAGTTAAGAATTTATTATTTACGATAGAGCTTTGTAAAGTTATGATAATAGTAAAAAAAAAAAAAAAAAAAAAAAAAAAAAAAAAAAATTGCTTCTAATATTCTTCAATTATTTTTTTAAGTATATGCTTATACTATGCGATAAATATCGTTGTGCCAGCTTCATAAATCATGAATTTAATTTATTTACGCTGTAAAAGGTTAGGATTTATTAATTATGTAAATTGTTTGAAAAATTAATTATTCTTCGTATAAAAGATGAAAAAAAAAAATTTTTATTCATTTAAAAATTTTTACTATTTTTGTAAAAACTATATTTGCCAATATATTTTTTTGGAAAAATAAGTTTTATATTTTAATGGTTAAATGTTAAAATACAAAAATATACTGCCAACATCACTTCAATATCCAAATGAGAATGTTTTTTATTGAAAAGAATCGTTCAATGGCTATAAAATATTATTTCTACGTACAAGTGTATTCTTGTATGCGTAAGTATACGCCTGAAAGTAATTATGAATTAATTTTTATGCTTTGATAATACGTATGCAATTACTATATTTATTTATTAATTCATGAAAATTAATGTCATTATTCGTCTTATAGTCGAATGAAAAATTTGTTATATTCATTATTTTAAATTTATTGATTTTATTGTTTGTTTTTTTTTTTTTTTTTATATTTGAGCAGTAAGTATATAATAAATAATAAAGGGATTTTAATAAAATTTTTAATCATAAAAAGATTGATAATAATCGGCATTTAATTTTTCCATATTGATTTGATACTATGCGATCTATTAAAATTTTACGTCATCTTAATCGATTATGAATATATATATATTCCAATCTTTTCATACGTCATTCAACTGTCAATATTAATATCAATGATAGTAAAATAGATTTAGAGATCTGAAATTTTATTGCTGAAAAATTTCTTGACCTTCGAAAACTTTAATTAATAGATTATATCGATAATTCATAATTATATACAGAGTCATTTAAGAATAATAGTGAAATAACTTTAATGGCTTGTAAAGATAAGCGCAAATTGATAATAAAATACAAAATCATTTTACCTAAAACGTAGTTTAAAAGTTCCTTCAACTAAATATATTAGACAACGCACTTGGGAAAGGATTATTGAGATCAGTAAACTGTGACACGAAAACTGTTACCCAAGCGTAAATAAATATGTATTATAAACGCAACAAATATGTACCTAAAATACAATATTACGATATATAAAATTGAATAATTTTAAATGTGTAGATAAGGTTAATAGGCAAAATTAAATAGGAATAATTTGATTGGTCCTCCCATTCATGACGCTCTATTTCATAATGTAGAAAATTAATAAAATTAGCCGATAGAAATTTTAAATTTCAACAATCAAAATAATTTCTTGTACGAGAAAGTAGACATTTCTATCGTATTAATATAACCAAGTAGAATAATAATACATGTAATTTTTCATTATCCAAATGATAAAACCAAAGATTATTCAATTATTATAAGAATTTATTAATAAGAAAACTCATAAGACCTTTTAAAAATAATAATTATTATTATAATAAAAGAATTAAAATCAGTGACGATATCAATAATAATATATTGTGAATTTATTTTCCATTAGACTTGAAACATTGAATAATTAAAGAAATTATTTATATTATTTGTCTTACGTTGATGTATGATCAATGCAACGATATTTATCACTTCAGCTGACGATAAGATATTTTTTAAATCATATCCTATTTGACAAAATTCAATAATAATGGATTTGATGCATAAAATAGGTCATAGTGATAGAAGGATTCGAGCAATTTAAGGTATTTTACAACATGTAATTAGATCGTTACAATGAATGATAAAAGTGCCATTATTATCGAATAACTTTATCATTGATGGAATAAAATTTTGAGAAAATCTGCCTTATGGTAAATCATAACGAATCACGCCTCATGGATTCTGCACGAAGATATAAGGAGTAGAGAAACCTTTCGTTCAAACATCGATGTAGTAGTGGTTACTAATCCCAGGCAGTCTATCGGGTTGCGCCTGTTGCCTTCCATTAAGACTTGCATAAAACT